CCCCACCTCCCTCAGCTGAGTTAGGGCAGTCACTCTCTCCCCACCTCCCTCAGCTGAGTTAGGGCAGTCACTCTCTCCCCCACCTCCCTCAGGCTTCCTTTTTCTTATCACTCATTCCACCCCTTTCGAGTCCTACCTTTACTTTCTCTTCCCAATAAGACTTACTCTTCACAAATCCCTTAGGCAACAGACAATACCATTGTCGTTATAATCTTTCTCTAACTGTTCCGTAGCCTAGCTATTAAAATTACTTTTTCCTCTTCATTTACTTCTAGCACACCCTTAACTAATAAACTCCTATTTGATTTTCTTCATCTTACATAGTGACTCTTCTCCATCCCTCTACGTCCTACCAACATCATTTTCCTTGTCCTAATTATCATACCATTTTAACTTCCTACACCTGATCTTTGGTTCTCATTTCTACCAACTCTTACCATGCATCCTCGCTGTCATTTCCTATTACGAATCTGATCCTTTGCTTCACATAGTTTTCCTGCTTCCACGGTCAAGTTGTCTGATACCCAGTAACTGTATATGCTCTATTTCCTCTCAGACTCACTGATCCCCAACCACTGCCCTGCTTGTTCCCTTCACCTCCTTCATTCACATCTGCCTCAAAAATTCTAAACTAAATTCCTGAAAGGTTAAAACTACTTGGCCATTTGTCCTTTTAATGGAAAGCCAATACCAACCTTCCAAATACCTCTCCCAGTTTTAGTACTGAGTACCATCCAACACTGTTCTAAGCACTGTGTATACACACCAACTGGTTCATCACACAGCCTGCTGAGATGCATGCTACAATTATCCCGTTCGAAATATGTGGGAACTGTGAACCAGAGAGGTCATGGAACGTGCCCAGGTCACACAGCTGGGGAGCGTCAGGGGCCCTGGAGTTCCTGCCTCTTGTAGGCATGCTACACTGTCCTTCTGCATGTGTTTCAGAAGCAAAGTTAAGCCCCTCCTTTTCTCAAGCTACATGGTGGTCTCACCTCCACCGAGGCATTCAGCACACTGAACTGTAAGCAAGTGCTTTTCTGCATCCTTTATAAAACTCTCTAAGGACAGAAACTGTCCATCTCTCTCTCTCTCCTAGGAACATGTGACAGCACTAGGAGATATACAAGAAACAGTCCGTGAATAAAGGACTAGATCAAATGTGGGCAGTTTTAACACCACTCCAATCCCAGCACGGCACACATGTGCAGTATAGACAGAGTCAGTGAGGAACTGCAGGCCAAACTTTCAGACTCCTGCCTTAGTAACATGACACACCAAATAAAGGTAACTTGGGAAGCTATACTGATACACCTCTGTTTGTTCTGGGAAACTCAAGGTAACATATGCTCTAAAAAGACGTTTAGGTGGTGGCCTCTAAATCACCAGCAGCAGCACAGATGGGAGGACGGCAGAGTTACCTGACAGTGCATCATAGAACTCATCCTCACTAAGGATGCTGAGAGGTGGAGATCCTTTAACCAGAGACTGCTCTAATTCATGATGTTCAGTGGCTAGAGTCTCCAGTGCTTCTGACAAAATTTTGTTTTTCTCTTGTTCCTGTTCCAATTTAAAATTCCTCACCTAGAAGAAAACAGGCACATAAAAAAGACTTCAGAGTGACAGGAGACAGAGACTTACTCAGAGGATGTGCAAATTATTTGCTTTTGATCCAGTTCAACTGCAACATCAGAAATGAAAACAGTCATGTTATATACACACGGATGAATGAGCAGAATTACGAAGCTAATTTCGGTCTTCCCATGGGGCCTTTTCTCACAACAGCTTAGCTAATGAAAATAGATTAAGAACTAGCAAACAAATTCAGCTCAAATGATCAGGATCCTGGCATAGGAAGAGCATTAGTCAATTCAGAAATCATAGAGACTTTTTTAAAAATAAGGAATATTTTTCTCACAACATTAATCATGAAATTATGAAACCGTTTTTAAACAAAATTAAAAAATTAAAACCATTCTAAACATTAAAACATATACCACAAATCACAGCATGAGATAAAATCCTCTATTTTTACTTCTAAAATAGCTGGTACATCAAATGAAAGAAACAAGTTGCCAGGCGATGACTATAAACATTTAATTTCCATTTTCAACTCCATACTTCGTTTTCAATTCCACACTTCGTTTTCAATTCCACATTTTACCTCTTTAGTACATTAAAAAATGTTTATTGAAAAGGCAGCTCTGCTTTGATCTGTCACCCTTTATAGATACAATGCATTCCTCCAGTCTGATTCAAGAACTTCCATCCAATCCTTGTGGCTGACCAAAATCTTCTAAAATGCAAGTAACTTACACTTCATAAAATAGCACGGTTTTGGTATAGACAGTTTCACCTTTTTTTGCATCTGAACTCTGGAATTCACTACTCTTCCTTAATATCTTGCTCAATTTCTGGGGTCAATATGCACTGTAGACAAAAGCCAGAAAAACTGGGAGCCAGTGGAATACATAGCAATTATGTATTCTCAGAAGTTCCTTGTTCCTTAGTTTCCTCTCCTATAAAACAAGAGGTTTCCACTAATCACCTGATAACCTAATTGGAAGTCTTCAATTCATTGATCTTCAAACTTTTTTTCCCACTTAAACAGTAGAACTTCTTTCTCAAATATAAGCCCAACACATAAAATAGACATTTTAGAAAGCAAAACTGTGGTGTGGAACCCCTGAGTACTGATGAGAAGCCACTGTCTTGGTTTTCCCTCTGCTTCCCAAGGTCCCCTCAAGGTCCAAACCCAGGGGCTGTTCCAACAGTTTGAAAACACTTGAGGGGGTGACCTTTAACACATTTGGGTCCTAGGAGCTGCAGACCGTCTCACAACCTCCCATCAGGGTCACTCACTGTCCCTTCCTGACACCCCCCACCCCCCACTCGCCACCCCATGGCCTCCCAGCATGAAGCTTCTCCTCCTGTGTTTTGGCTCTGGAGCACCCTGTGTCCCTGACAAGCTGTGTATCAGGCACGACATTCTACAAGTCCTGGATATAACTTACACTTACACTGAAACGTTAAGTTCAGTGAAGAAACAGGGTTAAACCCTTACTACCTTGGGAATAGTTTCACTCTATAGGCACCTTGGTGTTTTATCAATACAAGATTATTAGAGTTGTGATAATAAAATAAAAATAGAAATAAATGGTAAGAAGACAAGCAAAACTGAAAAAAATTAAATACTTATATAATTTCAGTTTTAGGATACTGAAGAACACTGGCTAATATTCATACTAAACTGTATCTCCAAAGGAGCAAACACCTGAATTATGGCTAGAATCAACTTAAGAAAAACAAAAAAAATGTTCTTCCTCCATCCAATGGGTTAATCGAGGACTACAAAATTGAGCAGAATGTTCAGAATGATCTTTTCTTTGAATAGGAAAGCTCTGTTATATTTGCAGAGTCCAAAATCAACACTGCAATAAGATCCAAATTCTTTTACCCCTGCCTGTCTTCTCTTTTTGGCTTTAAAAAGCTCACACCTTGCCAACACCAAAATGCAAAGGTGCTAAGGATACTGAACTTTTAAATATAAGAATTAACTAAATTATCCTCTCTATTTGACAAATGTATACATTTCAACAATTCATCTATGAGATTTCAGCAAAGTGGCAAAATAAATGATCAAGGTCCCAAAATATCCAATCCTTTCAATAAAATGTTATTCAAAATGCAATTTATCCTTTATCCATCTAAAATAAGCATCTCTTCACTTTTGCCACATCTACATCTGTTCTCACTTATTCTTGAAAGTGAAAGGCAGAGGAGGAAGTTCTAACCATGGTTCTATTTCTTACCTTGTTTTATCTTTTTATTGATCTGAGTGTACTTTTATTAGTTTCAAGCCTAACAAAATTTTCTGCACTCAAGATACGAAGGTATAGAAATATCCACAAAATGGCAATTTCTCCCATCATGTACGGGACATATATGAGAGTATGAGTATACATCACAGAAACTGTTCTAGCAATGAGCTCTCAGTGCCTGCAAGAGGCATCTAAGAGCACACTTAACTGCGGCTAATGCTTTTTAGTCCGTTAGAAGAATCATCGGAACAATGTAATTCCAAATCTACAGTCTCAATACTTTAGAAATACTAAGATAAATCTTACTGTTAAAAATTAGTGTAGAACTGCTAATAAAGATACACAGAGTAGAACTCTAGAAAATATTCATCTTTTAAATTTTCTTTTTCAGATTAATATGAGGGTACAAACAATTAGGTTACAATGTTTGTGTCTGTCAGGTAAAGTCCCTGTCACAGTTGTGTCCCGCACCCAGGAGGTGTGCCATAGACCCTCACATTAGGTGGGAGCAGACCAATTCCCCTCTGCCCCTTCTTTTCTCTCCCCTCTCCCCACCTTGAATTAAACTGAGTTTTTCTCTGTGTGGGCATGTATTATTTCATCTGCTAGCTTCGTATTAGTATTAAGCATATTGGATACTTACTTACTTAGTCACTAAAGAGAATGTTCTCTAACTCTATCCAGGTTAACCAAAGTTGTAAAGTCTCCATTCTTTGCAGCTGAATAGTATTCCATGCTATACATAATATTCACCTTACTTTTAAACTATGTTTTGAAATTCTCAGTTCCTAGCTTATAAATTATACTGTAGCAGAAACTGTATCTCTGCTGCAAAACCTCTTTGTAATTTCATACACAATACTTTTACTTATAATATATATCAATATATGCATATTCATCATTAAGCTTTTTAAATTCTCAGACTACAGATACCTGCCATGATGCCAGGCTAGTTTTTCTATTTTTTTTTTTTTTAAAGTAAAGATGGGGTCTTGCTCTTGCTCAGGCTAGTCTCAAACTCCTGAGCTCAAGCAATCCACCTGCCTCAGCCTCTCAGAGTGCTGGATTTACAGGTATGAGTCACTGTGCCCAGACCTATCCTTATTACTATTACAGGAATAAAGAACTCACTTCACAGAACTAGTGTATCCCAACAGAGGTGTTTATAATTATGTTAGGGCTTTTCTAGAATAAGGCTGACATTTTATCTTTCAAAATCACATAGAAAACATGCACCCTAAGCTCTATGATTTTCCAACAAGAAAAATCAACATATGATCAATGTTATACTTTTTATTAGGTAAAACTTAAGGACTGAACCACCATATGCTTAATAGTGAATGTATCTACACTGCTCCGTGTCTGCAGTCCCTCAGAGACTGTTACAGCACAAACTTAGCCTTGCAGTAGTCTGCTTCCTCAAACCACTTCAGTATGGCAATCTTTCATCTGACTTAATCTCATTCTAGAAGGTGAATTTCACAGTGAGTACTTCCAAAGTGAATGGATGCCAGCAAAAAAATCCAGCACTCTGAAAAGTCATGGGCCAGCCAGCTTACACACATTTCATCTTCTCTTTCATTTTAGAAAGTGCCTTCTTATTTACCTATGGTTCACAAAAGCTAAATGAGGCAGAGATAGTCACTAAATCTGGCAAAGACGGCACTAAGTGAGGAATCACAGGACACCATGTGCGATTATCCAGTTATAAGATAGGTAAAATTTTAGTCTTATGGTCAGTCTGGTGTAGCGCTTTCAACTGGCCACACGCTGGTCAGTTCAAAAGCATGAGCCTTATTCCTTTCTTCTTTGCCATTGATGTTATTTTATTTTATTTTTTTAGACAGAGCCTCAAGCTATCACCCTGGGTAGAGTTCTATGATGTAACAGCTCACAGCAACCTCAAACTCCTGGGCTTAAGCAAGTCTCTTGTCTCAGCCTCCCAAGTAGCTGGGACTACAGGCACCGACCACGGCGCCTTGCTATTTTTGTTGTAGTTGTCATTGTTTGGCAGGCCCGGGCTGGATTCAAACCTGCTAGCTCTGGTATACGTGCTGGTGCCTTAGCCTCTTGAGCTACAGGTGCCACTGCCATTGATGTTATTATTGATGGAAAGCTGCAATAACCAAATGTATTAGCTTGAGTCTAAGTACTAGATCTTGAGCTAAAAAGACATATCCAGGGCTGGGCGCAGTGGCTCACACCTGTAACCCTAGCATTCTGGGAGGCCACGGTAGTAGGATGGCTTGAGTTCAGGAGTTCAAGACCAGCCTGAGCAAGAGTGAGAGACCCCAACTCTACTAAAAATAGAAAACTCAGCCAGGTAGTGTGCAGGTACCTGTAATCCTAGCTGTTGAGTAGGCTGAGGCAGGAGGACTGCTTGAACCTGAGAGTTGGAGATTGCTATAAGCTAGGCGTATGCTACAGCGCTCTTGCCTAGGGCAGCAGAGTGAGACTCTGGCCAATAAAATAAAATAAAATTTAAATAAATAAAATAAATAAAAATATGTATCTAGTTTAATTTCTCAGTTAAGGAACAACTGATACTTTACTTTTGTGGTTACAGGATTAACAAGATTCTCATTTCTAAACTTTTTTTCAAGATGTTTTAGGTGACTCCCTACATTTGCCACAGGGGTTAAAAGGTGCGGGTCAGATCATTTATAGCTGGTAAGAACTCTTCAGCCCTCAGGTCCCACCACCACACTGTTCAGTGGAGGATGGAGTTCCTATGTAAACACAAATGGCCAATGTGATTTACTT